AAATATGTTTATTTAGGTATATTTCATTATATTACTGTGGAATTTATATCTAAATATGTGACAACTATAGTTCTTCATTGCATGCATATGTATATATGAGTAGGAAGGAGAATTATTATGTATTGCTAATTATCTTGTTGGTGTAATTGTATGTGTAACATTGTATGAGTATCTATTTAATTAAGGTATTCAGTTTAGATTTTAACTATGGTCGAATTGATGTCTTTGCAATTTTATCTGTGATCGTCTTGTGACTGTTGTTTGACGAGTTTTATATTCAGTGCCAGTTGCACTCTTATGAATACTCTGAAATGCTGATGTGTATGTATGTATGTGTGTATGTATGTATGTACGTATGTATGCATGCATCTACAGTACAATTCTTGCCACTCTTGTTGCAACAGTGTACAGAATCTTTTGTAACCTTGAAACTTCTTTATCACATGATAAATATCTTGTGGGGTTCACTGGAATTTGCTTGCAAGAGTCCTAGTAACTTAAATTCCTGGTTCTAAGAAGTGTACCAGTAACTAACTGCGAACAGTTCCGTGACTCCCTAAGGATTTTTGCTGCTATAGAATTTCTCTCAAATACAGTTCAGTTTACACAAAATTTAATTTCATCTATTTCAGAACTGCTCAAAAGGAAATGGTACAGCACAAGCAGCATACATTCAACAAACTACAAGTGTCTAGAGACACTTAAGAAAAAGGTCTTCAAAGGAGAGTCAGCAGCACAGTGGAGTTGTTCCATGTTCACAGACAGCCAGCCAGAGTGATTCAGATGAGAAAGACAACTGGAATTCCTGCCTATCTGTGATATCTGCCTAACAGTGGACATAAAAAAACATACAGCTCACCTCAGGTTCAGCCTTTACTTCCTGAACTGTTATTTGCACAGGATCCACTTCCTCAGCTTTTATATTCATGGCCTGGTTTGCATCATGACTTGCTGGGTATGTCTCACCATGTGGACCCACTAAAACCTTCTCTGAATTTGTAGTTCTGTAAAGGAATCACATCTTCTATCAGTCATGCATGCACAACACCCTACATGACACAATACATGCTCTCCTTGCTGTAGCTGTTTTTCATTACATCTAACCCATAACAGCTGCTCTGTACAGATTTCTTCTCTGCAGACTTCATAATCTTAGCAACTGGTAAGTTCATAATGCAGGGACTTTACTGAGAAACCTGTGGTCCCTGTGGAAGTAGAGACAATATGTATCTGCTCCTTATGGAACCTAAGCTCTCATTACTGTGTCCACACGTGCCCATCATGACTTTGCATCCTGACACAAACAAACCCATTCCAAAACCCCCATAATTGTACCTTTAAAATCCATCTCCACAATTGTCTCATTCTCTCAGGCCTTCTGTCAAAATCTTTGTATGCGTTTCTCATTTCTCACATGTGTGCCACATGACATACCCATATCACTCTCTTTGAACTGAACTCTCCCCCATATAATAATACAAAGTGTTGTAATATGAAGAACCAAATAAACTCTCCGGGACTGATTATAAAAACTAACACAACTTTGGCATAAAAGGTTTAGTTTCCTAAGATATGAGAATTGAACGATTACAATAAAATTTTTGTCAGTGTACACATCACTCACCATCCTTTCTGTCACAGTAGGAAATGTCCGTTCAGCTCTCTGTAGCAGAATTCACAGAATTTCTGCTGCAAGAGAATCTTTCATAACCTTGAAACTTTATTTTATCACGCATGATACTTTGTGGGTGGCAAATGAATTGATTTACATGAATCCTAGTGATATAGCATCATATTTATAACAAGTGTACCAGTACCTAGCTCTGAATATTTGCCCACGTCTGTAAGGGTACATCCTAATTACTGTGAAAGGCACAACACATCACTGTGGTCATGGTGCAAGGGCCCACCCTTATACATTCATTCATTCGATTATTGTGAACAAACGCACACTAACGTGGATTTCTTTTTTTCTCACAGCAGAGGCCGGCAGAGATTATGAAGCTTGGTGTCTTATTACACGTTGTGTAGTCTTAACACATTGTTGCCCAGTTGTGAAGGCAACTAGTTCACCCATTTTAAGTGAACCTCTTGCTTCCCAAATGTCGGTAGCAGGCTACCAGACTGCACGGAGTTACATCCCAGAAACAGCAACCTACTCTACAAATTTACATCTCCGACCCCCAAAAATGTATTTCTACGCCCTGCATCCATACCGATCCATACCACAACCCATCAGCTCTCACGACTTCCTTTATAAGCTGGATCTGTATGTGTTAACAGACGAGAAAGGGCATACAACAGTACAAATGTGCATTCTACTAGTAACATCACCCTCGGACCGGGCGATGTGAAGTTTAGCAGAAACCAAACTAGAACTTGCAACAGCGGGATAATATCACGAATACCATAATTTGTCAATATATGAGGAAACTGAATTTCTATCGAATAAGCCTAATGATTCCCTAAAGAATACCCACAACTTACATACAAGAATCTGCGGCACTTGGGCAGTTGGATGCAACTCAATGCCCTCAATGCTATTGGCGGGCAACATAACCGTCGTGACGTCATTCTCTTCATAAAAAAATGTTGCAGCCAGTGCCGAGGGCTCGGTCGGTAAGAAGGTATGCTATCATACCGCCTGCCCTGTCGGTAAGAAAGTATGCTATTATACCACCAGCATTTTTTTACTGCTCCCTCCCAAAAATCACTGGTTCACACGTATAGCTAGAATTAATAATCGATGTAAATGAAACGTTCATATTTTACAGGCACTGGTGGGAAACTTTTTCCAGATAAATAATGTTGCAACCTGATATATTGTATCAGGTTCTTACTCCGTTGTGTGTTTTCTGTTTCCGAACTGAGTTTAATATCACTTCGGTCAAAACCATCTGGAGGGGAATGATATCAAACTCAGTTCAAAAACAGAAAACACACAATGGAGTAAGAATCTCTGCAATACAAGATATCAGGTTGCAACATTATCTATCGGGAGAAAGTTTCTCACCAGTGCCTGTAAAATAAGAACATTTCATTTACATCAATTCAACACCCCCTTACTGAAATGCAATGGATATTTGAACTATAACATATATAAAATACTTGTGTTTAGGAAAGCTGATGGTGGGTTAACTTGAAAGAAAATTCTGTTTCCATCAGAGATACTTGTATTCAATTTCATAACTCTGCTTACAATTTATACCTGAAAGCTGCACAGAACATAGCTTTTCAGTTACATTAATGTGTTATATATCATGTAAAAAAAAAAAGTAAAGCTGTCCCTGTAACAGGCCATGAAGGCCCATAGGTTTGTGAGACGTTAAGGGTCCCACACTATCTAGACAATCGGCTCAAAGATGGCGGTAAGGTTGTCAGGCCTACGCGCCGGCCGCGCTTTACTCCCCAGGAAAATTATTTATTTAATTCCTGGTACTCATTTCTGTTAGAGGCTGAGTGAACCCCAGGGCCATAGTGTGGCCAGAAGGTTTAGGTCAATTGAAAAAAATCCAATGACCTCATCGGTATTTGAACCCGCGACCTTCCGACTTGTAGCATAGTGCCTTAACCACTACACTATATCATTTATAGGAAGTAATAATACTGAGGTTTCCATTTGTTATTAATTTCAGTAGTATAATGAAGCTCGAGAATCTGATACACTCTCTTGTTAACAAGATTAAGATTGCATTTAATAATATACGAAAATCAATAAAATAATTGCAGAACTCTTACAGACCTTTTTTTTTTGTTTCATTCTGGTCTGTCACACTAACAATTACAAAGACAAAAATAACTCCATCCAGCAAGCCACGAACAAACACGGACGATACTAAGAATCTCCTTCACAAGATAGACAGGCGGCACAAGTTCAGCCCCCTCCAAGAAAGATGATAGGAGAAGTGACATGAACCTGCATGGTTTATACAATTTTGACTTAAAGAACAAAGTCTTAATACCAGGAAGGCTGCTGCAATTGTGAAAAGTTGAATATTGTGTATATTGTGTATTCCAGGCATTGTGTGTGTGTGTGTGTGTGTGTATGTAATTTAGCACTCAGAACACCTACTGTGATAGTGGTTTCCGAATAAGTATTGATCTTCTCTCTGAAGATGATCCGTAAGGATCAAAACATGCAAGGGTGCTGAGTTTTCAAGTGGTAAAACTTAAATAGTCACACTGCACGGAGTTGATTTCGTCTTTGCCTTACAAACCTCATGATCTGAAACATGCTCATGTTTCCAAAATAATAAATTAACTGAACAAATATAATGAATGTTGTATTTTAGTGTCCTACTGCACTGATTCGTATCCATAATGTGTGTATATTAACCGTCTTTTACACACATACGTCCAGCACATACGCACATACACATACGCACGCAGCCATATAAGAAAGACACATCAAGAGACAGTATATACACAATTAAAACATAAGAAGAACGATTCCCATTGAGGATGAATGGCATTACACACGAGTTTGATATATGACATGTAAGATGATATACCTTAAGTAGTTTTAATATATAAATTTTATTATTGAATGACAAACACACATTTTATATCATTTTATAAATGGACACTTGATGGCAGGCAGTGCAATGGTTTAACGTGATTAATACACCTGAGGATGGCTGAATGATGCCGAAACATGTAGTGTGAAGTGACAAGTGAAATTGTATGCAAAGTCTGAGATATATATATATATATATATATATCAGACTTTCAAGGTTCATTATATTTATAATGTGTATATATTAACCGTCTACTTTCGTTTCGCAACCACATCAAATCAAAATTTATACTTACACTTTGCATATAATGCACCACGATAACCGCATATAATTGTGGGTATTCAAATTGGTTTGTTTAGGCTCTCTGATTGGTCGTGACGTGCGTGAAGTTCTGCAGTCATTCATAGAGGCAGTAGTTACCGTGTTTCCTTTTCCCCTATCTCAGTTGCACTCTCCTGCACTTGATTGCACAGTTCAGTCATATTCATATTCATGTTCATATTGCTGAAAGTCACGGCCGTTACGTATACGTAGATTATGTATGTAACTGAACGATGTAATTGTTAAGTGTACGGTTATCTTGAAATCCTGAATGAATGTCGGGGGAGAGGTGAAGACAAGGGAAACTTTGGCGACTTTCCGTTACAGAAGGACCCGATGACTGGAAGGATTTATAGTGTAATGCCAGTTCTACATTTATCCAACATTCTAATGACTCGCGTGATTTTAACACACAAAGTTAGGTTAGTGTCAAATCCAGCTGGTATTCATAGAGAGAATAGTACCTTGGTTAGGAGGAAATTGGGGCAGTTGTTTCAATGGTATGAGGAGATTACTGGTATGGACGAAGTTCGAATTGCGCAGAACCGGGTGCTTCAGGCAGAAGAGAGGTTTGTTTCAGCACAAGAACGAAGAAGAGAAGCCACTACATTAGTAGCTGCAATACAGAGCAAACTGAAAGATTTATATGCAGAATTAGATAACACAACACGAGGAGAGGAACGATATGTGCACCTCATAACTCAAGAACATAGCATTCTTAAGGAAGAAAGGTCAGCAGTACAAGAATTCCAGAGGTACGAGCGGGAGGAACGGGAATATTTTGCGGCTCTATCATCAGCAGTTAAAGAAAGTCATGAAAAGGAAAGGGCTCAAGCAGAAAGAACAAAATATTGGTCAATTATAGGGTCAATAATTGGGACTGTTATTGGTATCATTGGGAGCTCAGTAAACAGTGAAATGAAAATGAGGGAATTGAGAAGATTCATCAGGGAGTCATTACAAAAACGTGATGATCAAGATGTTTCAGCAAATGTTCAAGAGGCTCTTTCCAGCCATATGAAACAACTGTCTGTAATTGTTAATGAAATGAAAAATATTTCTTTCCTTCGGAGTGATCATGATCTTGGTCATCTTAATGAACTTGTTCGCCTGTTGCACAATAAAGTGAATAGTGAAACAACCACTACATCTCAAATGACTGATGAAATTTTAAAGTCACTTAAGAAGCAGGAAGTTTGTTTTGAGAGGAACTTTCAGGAAATGAAATCGATTGTCACATCTCAGAAGATTCAGATTGCTGATGATCAGGTAGTAGTATTACCTTATAGTACAGATGAAAGACTCCAGCAACAGCTACAAAAATTCCAGTTGATGGTCACCTGCTGTACCATAGCTTCTATTGTAGTACCATTGTTATGTAAATATTTTGGGCTTGTATGAACTGCAGAGAACTTACAAAGTGAAAAGCGATTAGCAGTTTGCCTATTTCTGTCTCTTCATTGTTGGGCAGTTTGCAAGTCAGTGGAACTGTCTTTGTGGCAAGTAAAGAGTTTGATCCTGTAAATGTATATAGGATCTTTCACAATTATATGTCATAAATTCAGGATGGTATTCCTAAATTCATTCTGAGTAAAAAATGTTATATCAATGTGGGTACAATTTGGAATGGTTACAGAGGTATGGGGAGGGAAATTTAAGATGATTTGAATATGATTGTAATAAGAAATGGCATTTAATGGTTGTGCACAATCTTACATACCTTGGACTTTCACTGGTTTAATAAATTTTCAAAATTTGTATCTTTAGCTTCAATATTTTTTCCTATTCTACAACTGAATGTATAATGCAGTGAAGAGTTTCTTGGTCACTGATGAATATCGCTGCATCAACAGTGTGATGAATGAAGGCCTCATGTATGTCCATATTGCACTCATAAACAAGATGTTTCATGTAACTCCATATATTGAAGTCAAGGCAGTTAAGGTCTGTGGATTGTGGTGACCAGTTCAGTGGACCTCCACAGCCAGTGTAATGACCAGGAAAGTGATGATTCAGGTACCACATTGCCTGATGACAGGCATAGGAGTGCTCCATCATGCCAGAAGTACATTCGTGCCCATGTTGTCAGAGGCTTATTGTCCAGCAGGTCTGATTGTTTATTCCACCATGGGTATGCTGAGCTGCACCACTGAATAAGATGTATCAATGAAGATAGTGGTTAACTGGTAGCAGTATACCAACTGCATATGCAACTCCCTGGGTTTTTGGGGTGCTGAATTTGCTGGAAGTGGTATATACATGTTTAATGGCTGCCATGTGTATTGAAGACTGAGGTGAGTGGTAGTTCACTAGGTATTGATATGTGGATGGCAATACACTGTCTCAGCATTCTCTTCTCTATCTGCATTTCATCTCACAGGATGTTCAGCTGGTGACAGCATATTAGGAAATATTCTTCTTTCATGCATCTGGCAATGGAGAGCACAAAATACATGACTATTGGGGATTCTCAATCTCAAGAATCATCACAGATATTCCACAAAATCAACAGGAATGTTTCTGTTACAAAACACATACAGGGTGAATGTGTATTCTTTGTTACAAAATGTAAGCAGCATGTTTTCCATACTACCATGTTAGTGTTATGAACACACACACAGTACAACCTGCAAGTTCTTATGCTGCTGTAGTATGGATCTGCATTCAAGTACAGTGATGTTGTACATTTCAGCTGACATACCAGTTTCCCCTACTCATAGCTCTGTAATTGCTGAGAATTCTACCCATATTAATATAAAATTTTACACTCAGAATGATCACAGGAATAACTTCCTGAGATAAAAAGTAAAACATTCCATACATACAGAGGTTTATTTCCTCATGTGTGGTCTTATTGCTGCCTGTGTGTATGAAGAGTGGGACACTGGGTAATGGGTTGCATCCTTCCAATTAGATACTAACATGCTACTGCACACATTTAATTGGAGGCCTTGTTTGTGCTTGGTAAATATTTTTAATAAAGCCAGTTTGCAGTATCTGATGAAAATGGTGTCTTCGTAAATTCAGCCACATTCCCAGATAAAATACCACATACATTCAGATCCAGGGAACTTAATGACATGAATCATACCATATTATTTCTTTGAAGAAAGCAGTCTTCTGGGATTTGGCACCGTGTATATGTGGTGTTAACCGACGTTTCGGAGGAACGTATCGCCTCCATCTTCAGGGTAGAAGAAAAAGTATAAGAAATCTGCAAGCGACGAGACCGTGAGAAACAGTAAAAGCAGACTGCTTTATTCATAGTCACCGCCGTGAAAGCCTCAAATCTTACATATTATTTCCTTGTTGCCCTCCATTGAGTTCAATGTCCAACCCATCATAACTTCCTTGATCATCCATGTTAATACTAGATGGCATATAAAAAAGTAAGCCTCATCACCATGTCATGGTATATCCTCTGGTTGCAGACACAGGATATTGCCTCCAGATATGAAGGGCAGGTGTGAATGTAATGAATAATCAGTCTTGGAAAAATGAGAAGTAGTTCTCCAGTTTGAGCATTGGGCAGGGACCCAGGAACGCTCCGTAGTGAAAACTAATATGTTATGACATGTTACACAGGGTTTTGGACTGGACAGATAATAGTCATTAGATTTAGAACCCAAAATGTCAAGTCTGGTTTATTTGGAACAGTAGTGAGAGAATTAACTGGTACTTCAGCTGGTTTGCATACCAGAAAACAACTGATGTGTACTAGAAACATGTAAAAAGTTGCACATTATAATTCTCCGGGGCATTGTATGTTTCAACCTTGATAAAACTCAGCATGAGAGCACCAGGAAACATGTTGCTTTTGGGGGAGGTGGTGGAACAACTGGAATGAGCAGAGTAGGATTTAGTGGGAATACAGAAGATCGGCTGGGGCAGGGTGGCACTGAACCAGAAAATGATACATTTTTGCAGGGAAAAGGCAAGATGTCCCTGTAACATGACAAAGGCACTTGAGACTCCCAGTAGAGTACCACACAGTTATAACTTCTGTTTGAAGAAAACACATTGCAGAGTATCAAATGATGTGTGGAAGTTCCTTCAACTGGCACATTAGTTTATGAATTGAAAAAAAATTCTGCAAGTTGTTATGTTGGAAATGTACTTTCTAATGAAGGAAACTGCTTTGCTTTATTTATGGTAAGTAATGATTTGCACTGTTTAGTGGGAAAGATAAACATCTGAATCAAAATAAAAAAAGAAAAGCCTTAATGAAGTTTTAGCACTCCCCACAATTAAATACGTCAATCTTATGGAGAGAATAAAAATTATAAAGCTGTCTCTATGCTAAATTAAGCATTACACCATGAAGTATTATATGGGGGAAGCTGAGGTGTAGCTCCACATATTCTTAATCTCATCAGCTAGAGATGAGAGGTAGGTCAGCTTCATGCCTTGGCAACTTCACCAATGGTGAAAGAGCCCCAAATACCCATTGGATAGACTGCTGGATGGGCTATATGTGGTGGTGAAGAGAAAAATCTTTGCCCCTCCCAGAAATTAAACCCCAGTTGTTCAGCTATGACTGGTCACTATAATGACTGTGCTAGTTAGTTATTTAGAGAGGGTGGGTTTCCCCATGCACCGCAACCAGTTTGATCTATTGTGCTTCCCTCTATGATATTCTACCAGTCTCTTTACCCTACCAATAAATGGTGCGTACCATCAGTCCCGCCGAGCAAGCGAGTTCGGCCACTTGCTTAGTGGTGTCTATAATGCTTCCCTCATCTATCAGAGGCCTTAGAGGCTATTGTTGGGTGTGAAACGTCCTGGAATTTGGCTCAGTGATACCCTTTGGGGATATGAGGTTCTTTTATGTGCCGTAAAGTTACGACACAGGACACACAGCTTAAAGTCCCTCCCGGAGGACTTGTTCCCTGAATTTTTCCGCCCTTAAAAATTCGACGACCTCCGCCGGATATTTGAACCCGTGTACCACGAGTCATGAGGTGGGAACATTACCTCTAGACTATGGAGGCCGCTTATGACTGTGCTAAATAAAAACTGTATTTCAGCAAATCTGTTGGCCAGGTTTAGTTCAAGAAGCCTACTCAGTTCAAAGATGGCGTATAAAGTGTGGTAAAGTATAAAATGGAATCCAAAACTACATAACATTATACACTCTGCACAGTTTGATATAGACTGCATTAGGTAACTTCACTGAAGTTCGAAACATGACTTAATCCACTTTACACACTTGAAAAGCATACATTTCTGTACCAGGTGCTGTAGATCAATTCTCTTTTCACCAGTTATGATTTAACAACACACTTAGCAGACCCACCCAACAGTTATTTTGAAGGAATTTGGGTTTACTTCTTACAGTATCGTCCTCTGATCATCATTTTCAAGCAAACAGTTATTCCACTCTGCAAGTTAAATCAGATGAAAGAATCGCCCAAAAATCCACAATCAAGTGACTGCCTGAAGAAAGCAATAGAAATCTCATTACATATGACATGACAAAAAGGGCTATGGCTGTTGGTTTTTTGAAGTTATTAATTTTGCAGAAGAGAGATGGGAATAGGTTAAATGACTGATGCACTGGTATACTTTCATCTTGTTTTAGTCACACCCTCATGCTGGCGGCAGTATTCTTTATACTTCAAACTGTCATTTTAAAATTCTGAGGTAAAGACAATAATCAAAAATGTGCCATATATATATCAGATGTTGAGAACATAAGCCTCACTAGCTCCATGGAGCAAAAACCTTACAGAAAAACTGTTAGTCACTAAGCCAGTCTATAAATTCCCTGACTTTTATGGAACTTGAAAGTTTGTTATCACATTCACTAGATTCCAGTCTATATCATCCTATCCATTTCTGTAACATCCATGTTAATACTGTCCTCCCATCTATGCCTAGATCTTGGCCGCACCATAGCTCAAACGGTTAGTCGCTGGCTTCCCTCCACGGCAGCCTGGGTTCGATCCCTGGTCTGGTCAAGTGGGATCTGTGGTGGACAAAGTGGCACTGGGGCGGGTTTTCTCTGGGTACTTCAGTTTCCCCTGCCAATCTTCATTCCACCAAATTCTCCATCATAATCACGTGGGGCAGGCTACAATAGGCAAATCAGTGGCCGCTGTGCCGAGTGGATCCAGTTGGACTCCAGCCCCCACTAAGCGAATTAAAAAATAATGCCCAGACCTTACATTTCCTCTAAAATTCAACACAAGATATATGACATGAAGTTTGGAATCATAGTGCCATGGCAGTATTGAAGTGTTTCTGTTTTGGATGTACCTCTTTCAAGAGATAACAGTGCTTAACAGTCATGACATTAGGGCCCAAAAGCAACCACAAATCATCAGCATTGCCTGCATATGCAGGGCCATGATCTGTGCAAAATGATACATTAGTTCAGTATTATCATGGAAGAATCTATTTGGACATTGTCCACTGTTTGGCTCAAAAAAGATTTGTATTATATTGCATGCAGGATGTCTACAACTCTGTGTAGATGAAAAGCTCTACTCTGTGAGCATTATCATAAAAAGCTGTATTTAGCAATAAGATTAGTGCAAGCCATGAGGACAATATGATAAAACTGCTTTTTAACCACCATGTACTGCATTTAAACACCTTATGATGATGTGTTTTATTCAGAAGGATGTTTTGCTCCAAGATGGTTCTAGAACATAATGCTGTAAATCTACTTGGGACTGAGAAAATATACAAGAATTTTAAAACTTCTCTCTCCATAAAAGAAATACTGTGCAAATGATTTTCTAATCCTTGCCATGGGAACAGA